CAATTAAAAAAGTGAACAAACAACGGTTGAAACAGGGCTACGTATTATACAGCTAACATCTGATGATTGCGTTAAGTCAACTTGTGCAGCTAAATTAGTACTAAGACAAAATATCGTGATGCTACGTGATTGCGAACTAATCGAAAAAATTATCCGCCTAGTCAAAATTTTAAGTAATTCATGCTCGCACAATAATTTAAATAGGTCACACCGAACACAGCATCTGATGACCTGAAACAACAGGGAAACTTGTGCAGCTAAAAATATCTAAAATTTCAATCTTAATAATCAAAAGCGAAAACGTACATCTTCAAGAATGTAGGCATGTTTACATTAATAAAGAATTAATTCTGTGTTGTACTTATGTTCTTTTTAATATTCTCTTTATACTGGATTCAATTTTATTTGACTATAACACACAAGATTAGCGCACAAATAGTAACAAAATGTCTACATCAACAAGTTCAAAAAAAAACATTTCGTCTTTGCCTATTGTTAGTAACCCCCTCCCCGAAACAACAAACGGTCGCTCATTCGTTAGTTTAGTTGTAGTGTTTACTAGCCTCGACGTTTACCGTTTGTTCCACTCTCTTGCTGTTAGTAACGGTGTTGTATTTGGTGTACCTCAGTTGGGAACCTGTATCAGTTCTGGACTGAGATAACTGAGTTCTGGACTGATTATGGGCAAACGAACCGACAACAATGTATGACCGTAAGCTTATATAGACCTCGCTGCATGTTTGTTAAGTAGCATCTATTGTGTCACTTATCGTATAAACATGTTGATGTTGTGATGGGTAGTGCAAATATAAATGCTCCGCAACTGCCTGGCTGTTTGTAGTATGTACAATGCTGAAGCTAAACAATGTCAGCTTTGCTGAATGTAGAATAAGGAACGCACGAGTTGTTTAAAACAAAACGTTTTCTGCTGGTTGATAAAACTGTTCAAACGTCAAATGAAATCCACACAAATGCCCGCCAAAAAGCAAAATATTGTTAAAAGTATTTTATTCATATTCCTTTCTTTGGTAAGTAAGTTAAAACGATGAAAAAATTGGTTTTTTGTCTTGCTCAACAGTTTACTTTTATTATTATGTTAGGCGATTACAGTAAATGCTGATTTTATATCGGGCGACATTCACTTAGATCCTGTACACTCATGGTAAGATAAGACATAAATTATTAACTCGTTGCATTGTTCTTGAGCATCACACACGATATCTAAAAGATTGAAATTACATTTTTTGGAATAACTTGTCAACCTCAAAAAGGTGGATGTGTACTTCACAAACCAATTATCTTAGTTTAAAGATAGAAATTCAATGTCTAAACAGTTCAATCTAATAAAGCAAATATCTTCCTTTGCTACACTAATACAGCCTATATTGTAAACACAATTTGTCAATATCGTGATTAAAGATAACTTTGTCATGAAAGTCATGGAAGGATGGTATAGAAGATTTATGAATTTAAGTCAAGCACTTTTTACGACATCAAACTTCGGTGCTTATATAGCCGGAGCTGGCAAACCGAATAGTCCTTGCACAGGCGGAGTGATCTCCCAAGTTTTATCTTCGACGGATCT